TATATATGTACATATATAGCACCTCTTATTTTTATAATCAACAATTCTTATACTTATGTGTCATCTTATATCAACTTTTAAATATAAAACAAAATGCCAAATTGTAATTTTGTACAATTGGGCACTCCTTTTATGTTGCCTGGTGAAAGCTTGAGACGGGCTGAGACTAGATAATAGCTGGGCCAAACATAAAAATTTCCCAAACATAAAAATTTCCCAACAAAAAATTGGCCTTTTGGGCATGCTGAAGTGGAAGACACAGTACTTTTCCGGCCCATTGGCCTCTCAAATGCAGAAAAATTATGTTATGGGTCTAACGAATTATGCCATATCGAGATAGTATAAGAATCCAAATTGATGCAGTAAAGGTTACCAAACGAAAAACAAAACATGAACAACTAGGGTTTTTACGTCAACACAAGAGATATAATAAATTATATAAAAATGTTAAACGATTGGACCACCTAACTATGAAAGCGAGATGAATGATATTTTTCTTTTATGTTTTCAAAACCACAAGAGTCAACTGAAAAATATATGAATATTAATAGCGTCTTATAAATCAGGGAGATATTACGGTCCCATTACGAAACTATTTCGTAGGCAGCGGCGGATCCATAAATTTTCACCAGCCAGGGCAAAAAATTGTTCGAAGAAATTTTTAATCATATTGCACAAAATAATTATAGTAACAATTAAATAAATTGTTGAAATAATCGGGTGTTGAGGGATTCCCTATTTAATTTGTGTTTGACTTGATGCTAAAATATAAAATTGAAAATGAAGTCTGGTTATTTTATGTTGCGATTTTATTATTAATAATAAATATACCAAAAAAATTTCACAATCCTTTTTCTTTCATATTATTTTTTTATTTTTTTAATAAGAAAAATAAAGTCATTTTGAAATATATTTATTAATTTAAGAAAAGCCTAAATGTCATCATTTTTGTTCTTTGTTTTTTTTATAAAGATTTTCTTATTGATTGTCTTCTTATAGATAAATGTATAATTTTTTATTGTTAATTTCCAACGCTCTATAATTCTATATGTTAACTCCTAAGAATTCGAAATAGTCCATACAAATATTAATCTTCTTATCCAAAATTTTTAAATTTAAACGCTTGGGTAACTTATATTGTAAACATATTATAAAATCCAATAACATTTGTATATATTATCATTTTTTTTATATATCATAACTTAAATTAGTCATATTTTGATAATATATAATTTAAAATTCATATTTTATAGGTAAATTGAAATAATTATACCTATATGATCTCTATCAATAAAAATTTAAATATTTATCAATTATAATTGAAAAAAACATAAATTTATCTATCAAGCTTATTATATGTCATAAGTACTAAAGAAGTTATAATGTAATATCCTCGAATCTGGCCGGTGAGGTATATCAACTTAAATAGAAACAATAATGTTATTTTATAAAAAATATTTAAAATTTTAAAATAAAAACTTATATTTATAATTTTTACACATATTAAACATAAATTTTTTTATTAACACATATTAACGATATTAGCACCAAAATTGAGCCTAGGCAATTGCCTAGGCTCGCCTATACCTATATTCGCCCCTGTTCGTAGGAGTTTGTAATCGTTAGATCAACTATCCTCGACGATTACATGATGATCTAACAACTATAAATTCCGACGAAATAATTCCGTAACGGGACCGTAGCATCTCCCTATAAATCAATATTGTAATAACCATAATATGAAACTATCAACAAAATTCCATAAGAAGGAATACTACCAACTCCAAATCAGATTTTTCAGTTGAATTAAATCCTCATCTTTGACAGACTTTTTGACTTTCCACCATGAGAATTCTTCAAATTTTCCTCAAAACGTTTTTAGATCATTTGATATGATGCTTAACTAGGTGTTTTTTAAATTATTTGGTTTGACATGTCGCATATTAAAGGATTGATTTTTTTTTTTGTGAAAAAAAATAATTTATTTAATTTGGACATTTTTAAAAATTTTAAAAGCGTGGATGTACTCATTTGAGTAATTAAAAAAAATAAAAATTTATAAAGTATAATTTTTTTTGGTACAGGGACATTTCGGTTTCCGGATCCACAGGGAAACCGACTAATCCGGAATCGAGCCGGGTAGGACCACAAGGGCGGCAAAGCTCTCCCTCAAGAGTTTTAACACTGCTGCATTCCCAGGGCTCGAACAAATACAATAACATAAAGGATGTTAAACTGTGCACAAACATGTAGTACATAAGATTCTTAGCTTATGTTACATTAAATAAAACTCAATCACGTCTTAAAAAATCTCAATATATATATATTTTTTTTTTTTTCAAAAAACATATTTGAAAAGGACTCGTCATGGAGTGCATGTATGAACATGAATGGTCCAAAATTGAAATGGTGTGGTTTGTGATTGAGAACAAATTAAAAGGCCATAATTTTTAATAGAGACTGGTTTGGGATTTTGCGTATAAGTGGTGGTACAAATTATTGTTTACAACACAAAAAAAATTGAATGAAAATGCAACACTAACAGACAAATTATATATACAATTAAAAAAAAGGGAACCTAATCTTGAACGCTAGCTAAATTGAGGTGACAAAGTAGAATTCATATATCATCTTCTAGAAGGTCATATATATGCGTCCATAATTTTGGAAGTTTATATTAATATTTAATCAGTGCAAACTTCTAACCTTAGGAAAGAAAACATTGCCTGGTCAAGATATGTTGAAAAATTAATATATCACTGTCATAGTTAATGCCGCTAGGCATGCGAATTTAATTGTCCATAACTGGCCTGTTCGTTTGTTCTGCCACGTTCTTTAAGCTAACGATCGAACAATATTTAGTCGAGCTTTGACTCGAACGCTCGCGAGCGGCTCGTGAGTCACTTTGACTCGTTTGCCCCCCTACTTATAACTAATTAATGAGGGCTATATAGAAATTAGGATACGCTAATTCGAAGCAAACATGTCAAAATCTCACTTTTATTCATTTATTATTATTGTTTTATTTTTTTGTGAACCAAATGTTCCTTGCATAATGCATGCACATGTTATTGGACCTTACTGTGTAACTCTAAAAATACCATTGGACGGACTACAACTGACCAAAATTAGTGGACTAAATTTTCGCCATATTTTGCATTCTTGTTTTATTTTATTTTCTCTCTAACGTCGTTATTAGGGATGGCAATGGGCCCCGAAACCCGAAACCCGATGGGTAAAAACTCCATTAGGAGCCGGGTATGGCTAAAATTTGGCCCCATGGATCTGTTAATGGGGGAAAAAGTCCCCCCATCGAGTCTAGTGGGGATGGGTCCGTTCCCTCTCCCCCCATACCCGTTAACCCATGGGTATAATGTACCCGATATAATTTGGCCCAATATATGTTTTGGCCCAGCCCAAAAGACTCAGCAGGGAGCAGCACTACTAATCCCTAGATATATAACTAATAAGAGGCAATCTCAATTCTCATCCTCTTGCTCTCCCAGTCCCACGCCCCCGCCCACCACACACACTCGCAGACTCCACTCCAGGCCGACAGCTCCTGCGTGTGACCGGCGGCTCCACCGCTCCACCAAGATTGCATCTTGTTGGTTCCGCTTCCGCGGCCGTGCCGGCACCGTCGAGTGAAATCGGGTTTGTGTCACCCGATGGGTACCCATCACCCACACGGGTGCCGGGTCTGGGGGAAATCTGGACCCGAGACGGGTGATGGGGGCGGGTGACGGGGGTATTTTCCCTAATGGGAACGGGTGACGGGGGGTCCCCCAGCGGGTTTGTCACCCATTGCCATCCCTAGTCGTGATATACTGATATTCATGGGATAACCGCATAGCCAGAAAGTTGGCAAAAGTGACAACTCTAGTTTGTTTTGTTTCTCGAAAGTACATATGTGAAATTTCTTTTTCTCTCTTTTCATTTTTTTTTTTTTTTTTTT